AGAGAGAGAGAGAGAGAAAGAGAGAGAGAGAGAGAGAGAGAGAGAGAGAGAGAGAGAAAGAGAAAAAAGAAATAAGATACTCGCAGAGACGAAAAAAAATGAAATATTTTTACCGAAATATTTGTCCGGTTCCAGACCCGAATCCTTGTCCAGGCCGCATATGACGAAGTAGTCCGCGAAACGCTGTGGATGTTGCTCTGAGCCGCGCGCTATTCCCAGACTGCCGTTCATTTTTCCCGACGCGGATCCGCGTCGTCCTCGGTCTCGTCGTCGTGCCCGTCGAGCAGTCCCGCGCCGTTGCTGCCGCCGCTCCTCACATTCAGCACTGCCTTCTTCACGAAATTGATTTCCACATCGTACACCAGCACCGCCGCCGCGGCGGAACTGTCATTTCACGGCGAGTGCGGGACAACAGCTGAGCGTGCTGACGCGACGCGCACGGAACGAACGCACACCGAACGCTGGAACGTACGGAACGCGGAGTGCGGACCGCGCAAAGGCGACCGCGAATAATTGATCTTTACCGCGCCGCCTGAAGTTGGCCGCAGCGAGCGCGTCGGCGCCCTGAGCGCCTCCACTCCGACGCGCTCCAGCGCGCGCACCGACACCCGCAGCATCGGTTTGTTGTACATTCGTCGCGCAGACGCCTAACTATTTGCTAATTCCATATAGTCACGAAAAACTTTCGGCCAGCCGCATTTGTTTCTAACCTACGTGTTTCTCACGACTGTGCTTAATTAATCTAAAAAATGAAAACGTATTTCAAAAAGAAAGTCACATTGTGACATCAGTTTCTTTTTCTTCTTATTATTTTACTTGAACTCAGACTTATCTCTATTGTCCTTTCACCCAAGGTACCGAGGTACGAATTCCAAAAAAATCAGGTCCGAACGTGTTCGAACACGTCTTAACGTAACAGCGGTTAAGCCGGAACTTGATTGTGACAGTTTGACATTTCGTATGCGTCAGTAAAGGTACTTATCGTACTTATTTCAAATAGCACATCTTAATCTTTCAAAGACATCCCAAAGACATCCTGAAAACTTCTAAATGTTCACACAAGTCCTCAGAATATCCCTTGAAAATCTTGTGCTGTCTGGGATCTTACGTGCAACGTAACGCGCAAAAATGCAATAAATAAGTACAATTCGTCTCGCATATATATTGGTTAGCTTGTTACATTGACAAATTCAATAAAACTTCACTTTTCACGAGTTTATACAAAGAAAATATATGTGATCAATTCATAGGCTAGTGCTACTGCTTTAAAGCATCATTATGTCTACTTTAACTGATAATTAAATTATATGTCTGTTTTTGTCTTAATTGAAGAAAAAACAAAAACAAACACATGATTTAACAATCAGTTAACTTATCAGTTAACTTAAAAAGTTGGAACTTCTAACCGACCCTAAGTTTTTCTGACTGACTTACAGTCAGATGTTTATATTTAATAATTAGAGGCACTTTTGTCATTAAAACACAATAGGAACTAAAACTAAAACTTTTCAACCAGCTTTTTATCCCTTTCTTTCTATTCATTGATAAAGAGGGGCTTCGTATTACCAACCGTCGATGTCATTATAACTCGATAATGAAAATTTCGATAGGTACACGCACCGGCGTTAATACCGTCCGAATATCCGTGTGACTCGCACACGATAACGCGTCACTCATCACTGCTGCGGTAAGTGAGCCAGGAGCAGCACGGAGTGGCGGAGGGAGCTAGCGGTATACGATCGTCGGACGCTTGGGGAGGGAATAGTGGTGGGAGTCGCGGCGATCTTCCATCCTCTATCGCAAACGTAAGAACGAGAGAAATAGCATTATAAGACGTCTGGACAGAAATGCCGTCCTAAAATACGTGTGACACACACTAAGAAAACGCTTGACTCACACTATCTCGTCTATACGTGAGCAATACGCGGTGTCCCGACGACTGTTTCGCTCGCTCGAACGTTCATGCATTTTTCATTGTTAGCAAGGAAATTACTGTAATGTAAAAATCTTGGGGAAAGGTTTTTA